TATATATATATTTTTTTTTTTTTTATGTGTTTTAGGTTCCCCTCATATGAGCATCTGAAGGCGTTTTGGAACTTGATCGAGGCAGCAACAGCCAAAATGGTCAGGGTCACCAGAGCAAAGAAAACCGACGTCATGAGTACAACAACTGAAACCCCTTTTACCAGACCAACTGTAAGTTACACACACACACACACAATGAGAATGCTGGTTTTGAACTAACATTTAAATAATTTTCTGTCCAGAAACTGCTGCCAATAGATGAGCTTTTTCTTTTCCTCTCCTACCTGTCTACTGGATGTACCCAGAGGGAACTGGGCCATCGATTTAACATCCACAGAGCAACAGTCAGCCGCATTATTGTGACATGGGCCAACTTCCTGTACTGCTTATTGGGCTCAATTTGTGTGTGGATGTCTCCTGCAGCTGTGAGTTCCAGTCTTCCACAGGATTTTGATGGCCGCTACAGTGACACACAAGTTATCCTGGACTGTACAGAACTACGGTGTCAAACACCTTCATCCCTGCTCCTCCAGAGTGAAGTCTTCTCCACCTACAAATCCCACTGTACCTTTAAGGCCATGGTGGGCATGTCTCCTCACGGAGCCCTGACATTTGTGTCAGCACTGTTTGAGGGTTCCATGAGTGACAAGGAAGTGTTCCGTCAATCAGGGATTACATCACTCTTGACACTGGACATGGCCATCATGGTGGACAAGGGATTCTTGGTGGATGATCTCGTACCTGGGACTGTTCATCGTCCTGCCTTCCTCTCCAAGAGGGCCCAAATGTCAGAGGTCGACGTTTTGAAGACCCAGTCCATTGCCCGTTTGAGGGTGCATGTTGAGAGGTTAATAAGAAGAGTTAAAGAAAATAAACTCTTTGATTCCACTATCCCTCTCTCCATTGCAGGAAGCATAAACCAAATTTTTACAGTTGCCTGTCTCCTGTCAAATTACCAAAATGGACCTTTGGTCAGGAAATGGAGATATGAAGTTTGACAGAAAAGCTGATGGCACAGTCTTGAAGAAACAGAAAATGCTGTCATTTACTTACATTGACATTGTCTTACATTTGTAAATAGATATTCATGATGGAAATATTTTGAAACAAATTTGTACATTTGATTTGATCAAACTCCTAATTTAGACATTTCTGCAGGTAAACATAGAAAAAATATCTGTCTACTTTGTGTTTGATTGAATCCATCACATTAGTGTCTGCATAAATTCTTTAAATAAGAATATCTTCCTCAGCTGAGACAACAAAATCACACCAGTTCATCCCAGTTATTAGCATCTGCCCCTGAACCTGCCAATAGTAAACATGAGTTTTTTTTAGTTCCAATTTGCCTGACTTCATTTGGAGATATGGACAGTCAACATAACTTTTCACATTTGGACACTTAATCTCAATCAGCCCGAACTGACATGGCTCAGAAGGATCAAAGATCAATCCGTCTGGAGATGCCCCTAGCCAAGGAGCATCAGGGTGAATCACAAATCCACAGGGATAGTGGTTGACTCTTTTAATTTGACAATATTCCCAGATAGCATCTGCCTCTAATTCAAGCCCTCTCTTCATAGCTGCAGTCTGATAGGTCCCTTGCAGCAGACGATTTGCCAGATCTTCCTCAGATTTATCTCGAACCTGGCAGATCTCCCTGAAGCGGGAGGCAGTCAACCTATGCCTCCTTAGCTGATGCCATTCAGGACATGTACTCTGTGCTCTGGTAGCACATTCAAATTTATTCACCATGTCCCAGGTGACCTCCATACTTTTAAGGTGTAGCTGTTGTGGTTCAGAACAAACAAACATGCTTTTTGATGGCTGTAGGTGGTAGTTCTTAAGAGGCAGAGATGGGCGGGGTGGTGCAGCATGGAAGGACATGTCTCTCTTTGCTGTTGCTGGCTGTTGGTAGGACAGAGGACTTCCAGCCTGAACTTTGCCAAGGGCAGAGTCAACAAGGGGAAATTCATGGCTGATTCCCATGCTGCAGATCATTGGTGCATCAGCTGCTGCAAAATCTTCATACACCTCGGAAACCTGGGAAAGTGAAAACAATTATTTCAATAAAATGTAAAATACATGTATATCAACTAATTTTAAGCCCTCAAAAATTCTACACTTTACAAAGAGACAGCACTTGAAAATAAAATTATTCAATACACCGGTAAGTCTACAACTCTTTGTTAGTACATTGTAGCCTACTGTTAATTTCATTTTTATTTATCAGTAATTTAAATACAACTACTTACTCTAAGGACAGAAAGGTCTGGCAAATCCCCACTAAGGCCTTTGTAGAGTGTGCTCCTGTGTATATAAATAAGAAAAGAACATGAGTCAAAAATAGAATACCCACCTGCATTTCGTTCAGATATGAAACATAAAATAATAGTGTTTTTCAAGCCTGGTCCTCAAGGCACACTGTCCTGCATGTTTGAGATTTGTCCCTGCTTAAACACAGCTCATTTCAGTTGGTAACTGATTAACAACTGTATCAGCTGTGTTAATGCAGGGAAATCTATAAAGCATGCAGAGCAGTGTGCCTTGAGGACCAGGGTTGAGAAACACTGTTGTAATACATCAGAATTTTTATTGATTTTTTTTTACCTTACACCCTCTGTTGTTGCTCCACTCTTCGGTTTAGCAGACAGCACAGTCATCTTGTCCACGGGGCCAGGTTTTATACCCTATTCAGTTATCCATGACACAGTTACAAGTTATACGGCAAGAAAATGTAATAAATTGAGTCTATTATTGAAGAGAAAACTTACTAAAGTTCTGGGCTTGTGCCACTGCTGTTCTCCTTCTGTACAGCTTAGTACAGGGGGGACCACTGACAGTTTCAGCTCAGAATAATGTGCTGACTGGAACAGCAAAGCCACACAGTGGTTGCATAATGCTGCACCAGCAACACACGTACAGCTGTGGTGAATCAGCTCCACAGGACACGAGTCTTTCAGGACCACCTGCATAAGAATGTCATAGTAAGAACTTATTATCTTAGCTTGGTCACTCATCAGCCATTCTTTCATGATGCAATCTTGCTTCCCAAATATTTTTTTATAACTAATGTCATAGAACCATAGTATCATGTTATGTGATTATATATTTAGTTTGGAGTATGTTCTATGAAGGTCAAGAGTAGTGTAATACAATTATCACAAGATTACATCTTAAATGAATGGATGAGATAAAGATAACTTGATTTCAAAACACTTTTAACCCAGAGGAGACCCGCTAGGTAAAAATACCTGGATAATGTTACAGAGACTGTGAGTGTATTCTTTAGATTTAAGTAAAACTAATATGCATGAATTACCAAATTAACACTGGGTTAAAAGTAACACATAACAACCATAAAAGAAGAACAATGCATGCAGCAAATAACCAAATGGGGACAAGCAAGGCCAAACTCACGTGTTAATATTCATCAAATAGCCAATTCCATTTTATTTTTATTTAAGAATTAATTACCACCTTAGCTAAATCCCCATTAACATTAGGAACGTCGGGTTACTGAACCAACAATCTTAAAACTGTCATCTGAACAATCCTATCTTCATCCTACACTTAAACTGTGAGGTTTTTCATTTTTCTTCATGGACCTGTGACACAGAGCCCTGACAACGACTTCACCTGTGTCCTGATTTTTGCTAGAAACTGAGAAGAGCAGAATGTTAGTAGAATGATCACAAAATATGAGCCTTTTGTTTAAGTGTGGAAAACCTGTTTCTATAACGTGAGTATACACAAAAATGGTCGTGTTGCTAATAGCCTAACGTTAGCTGCAAACAGTTAGCAACATCACAACGATCAAACTAACGTTACTTACCCTCGTAGTTGTGCAGGTAACTTGAGATATACAATTTAAATCCCTTGTTACGTTTGCTTGTCGGAGCAGGGGACCAGGCATCAACAATACGATGAACATCGCTGATATTTATCTTGGGCAGCTCTTGTAAACATCTAGAAAACGCCATTTTCACCGAGACCGGGGATTAGACCGGAAACTGGAATGCCGACATCCGGTCAAAGCGGAAGTGATTCAGGACGCATGTGCACAGAGCCTATTAAGGATTGCAATAGCTTTTTCTCCTCAAAGCACAAATACTTGCATTTCAATAGTTGCTGTCGTCATTCTGACAATTGGTAGCATTTGTAAATGTGAAGAATTCAAGGTTCTTTGTCATTCACATCACATGTGGTACATGAGGTGGAATGAAATGATGTACTCAAAGTCCCAGTTACATCCAACAATAGCAAAAATATAAAGTATAAAAAGAAATGGTAAGGATTTAAGATGACTACTACTTACTGTCTACTTGTACTACTGTTCCTACTTAGCAGTTTTTCGCTCGTCTCGGGGGGGCAGGGTACGAAAGCCCTCGTGATAAACAACTACTGTACATGTTGCTGAGGTGGGGTCCTGTGGTCCTTAACCCCGTGTGGATGGATGAAGGAAGCTGCAGACACCTTCAGCTCTGCAGGGGAGCTTTCTGAACTGCTCTTTCTTTTGTGACCGTTTAGTGGAAGCGTGAAGGGTCAGGTCTACAAACTGGACCTGCAGCTTCACCAGAAGATAGCTGCCGACCTTTGCCACCTGGAAATGAAGTCCTGCGAACCGGTTCTGAAACTGGTCAAACAGCGGCAGGGATACTGGGACCAGCTCGTCACCAATAAGGTACTGAAGTCGAGCTTTCTCATGAGCAGTGGGAGAAATAATGCACCGTGAAAATATCATAAAGAGGATTTGTTTATTTATTGTAGAATATTTTTGTGAGTTACAACATGGAGCACATTGATGACGAAGACAAAGTACTAAATGGTAAGAAGCTTCAGCTGGTCTAATGTTTCTTCTTCTTTCAGCTTTTCCCTCTTCAGGGCTCTCCACAGCGTGTCCTCCTCCATCTCACTTTGTCCTCTGTGTCCTCTGTCCTCACTCCAGCTGCCTCCATGTCCTCTCTAACTGCATCCATACGTCTCCCCTTTGTCTTTTTCCTGCAGCTGCATTTCTAACATCCTTCTACCAATATACCCACTGTCCCTCCTCTGGACATGTCCACACCACTGTCCCTCCTCTGGACATGTCCACACCACTGTCCCTCCTCTGGACATGTCCAGATCATCTCAGTGTGTCCTCTCTAACTTTATCCCCCAGTGTTTCAACAGTCTTGGTCTGTAATCTTTCAAATGTTTAAAAATGGTAATTAATGTGTAAACCAACAAAGTCCATGCTCAATAATCCAGGTATACATTCCAACAATTTTCAGTCGGGTCATCTGGACAGTTTCTTTTTTTGGAACTGGTTTGTTCCACTTTAGAGTAAGCTGTTGGGGGAAGAATCAGTTAGTTTCCTTGACTGATGAAGCCTTCTGGATGGAAGGTGAAACGTTTCAGCAACAACAACAAAAACGTTCAATACAAAAACTGCTGGACTTTATTTGTAACAGAAGACGTTTCGCTCCTGTTACAAATAAAGTCCAGTTGTTTTTGTTTTGAACGTATCATGTTCTGGATGACTGAGAATCTTCACCAGCACGTTTCAGCACAAATAAAAAGAAACCGTCCAGATGACCTGACTGAAAATTGTTGTTTAATAAATGTGTGACTTTGTTTCCAGGTGTGGGCTTTGTGGAGGACACGGGAGAAGACAACTGGTATGTGAACTCGGAGAGCGGCAGCGAGAGCGACTGAAGATACGAAAACACAAACGTCTTTGTTTCCCTTCAGAATGGTGTCCATGTCCAGCAGTCACTGTGCGAGAGGTGGGGACACCTGGACAGGTCTCCAGTCCATCACAGGGACACATAGAGACAAACGAGACAAACAACCATTCACTCTCTCACCTAGGGACAATTTAGAGTTACCAGTCAGTCTAACATGTTTTTGGTCTGTGGGAGGAAACTGGAGAAAACTCACGCAGCACAGAGAGATCATGCAGACTCCACCCAGAAAGACCTCTGGAAAGGGATTTGAACCGGGGACCTGCTCACTGAGAAGCAGCGGCTGTACCAACTGCACCACCGTACCGTCCCATACAATAAACATAAAACAAATACTGCATAAAAACAACAAGGTTGAGTTCTTTGGACGGTTTCTTTGTGTTGAAACGTTTCATCTCATGGAAGACTTTGATGTTTTGAACCACTTTGATCATGGCTGCTTCAGACGAGTCGATGGGGAAGAGGGCGGACTCCAGAAACCATCAGAGCACCATCAAACTGGTTGGCCCACTATGAGAAGGTGCTGTTTATGGGACTGAGCTTGTTGTAGCTCCCCGGACTGAAGGAGTCTCTTGGAGAGATGAAACGTCTCAACAAAAAAATAAACCGTCCAGAGGACCTGACTCAACTTTGTTGGATTTATCACCTGGATTATTGAGTAAAAACATAAAACTTCAAAATATACCAACGATAAATCAGGCCACTTGAAAACCTTTAATAAAATATGAAGTTAAATCCACTTTTCCAGAGAGCTGGTTCATATCTTCAAGGGTCTCTGAGGAGCAGGGGTCCCCCTGGACGGGTCGCAGGTCAATCACCAGGACGCACGGAGACAAACGAGACGACACTTGGGGACAGTTTGTTCCCAGTCAGCCTTAAATGAAGGTTTTCTGTAGGATGAAACGAGGAACCAGAGAAAACGTGCACGAGAGGATCACGTCCACACAGGAACCTGCCTGTGCGCTTCCTGCTGCAGGCGCTGCACTACAAGTTAAAAATTACAACCTTAATCCCCCAAAGTGTATGAAATGTGCATAAAACCAAAACGCACTGGTTTGTAAATCTCATAAACTCATACTGGTCCTGAGGCTGAGCCACGAAGGAAACTAGTTTTGTCCGCTTGTTTCCTGGATCTCGTTCTGTTGGTCCTGATCCAAACCTCGTGACCACAGGTGAGGGTTGGAACGTAGACCAGTAAATCCAGAGCTTTGCATTTCGAGCGGTCGCCTCTCGGTGAGAAGGTTGCTGGTTGGAATCCCGGCCGGACGCCTTTCTGGGTGGACTCTGCATGTTTTTTCCAGTTTCCTCCCACAGACCAAAAACATGCACGTTAGACTGATGGTAACTTTGCATGGGGGAGTTTTTGAAGAGAGCCTGTGATCAGAAGGTTGCCGGTTCAAATCCTCTGATCAATGCATCAAAAATTTATGTGGGATAGGTGAAGCACCCACACGTCCTCCACTCTTATTTGCCATATTCTGGGCCCTTGAGCAAGCCACTAACCCCCGGCACCACCGCTGCTGCCCTCTGCTCCACACTGCTGCGGCAGTCGGTGGTTGTTGAACAAATCTTGGTGCAGGTTCTCTTGCTGTGGCGACCCCTGAAAAACGAAGATTGTCTGTTCTTAATTAATATTTGACCATACAGCAGCATGTAGGAACGAAAACACCTGAAAAAGATCTGGAGTGTATTTTTAACCAGAACTGTGTTCCATTTAAAAAAACTTTTCGGGCGTTGACTCTTGTTGAGTCACTTTGTTGTGACCTCGCTGATCTCTCGGTAAATATTCATAACAGAAGAGCTGTTCTCATCGTGTGTTCCCAAACAAAGACGAAATTAGTTCTCTGCATTTAACCCATCACACCTGCGATACACCCAGCTGGAGCAGTGGGCAGCTATTGAGCGCCCGGGGAGCAACTGGGGATTGGGCGTATTGCTCAGAGACACTGCGACATGCGAGCATGGCTGGAAGTTGAACTGCAACTTTCTGACCCAGGTCAGCTGCCCTGCCTCCACACCATCTCAGCCCCAGTGTCCACCTTCCTAACGGTTTAATCTGTTACTGGTTGTTTTCTGCTGATAAGGTTATTTGGCACTACTGTTGTGGGTTAGGGAGTGGGCGTGGCTTAAAGCTCCACATCACTGATGGTTTGAAACATCCTACATGGCAGCTTCTGTGAACTGTTCCTTCAGTCAGTCTGCGTGAACTTTTCTGTTCTGTGGGTCGGATCATCAGGTTTCCTCCCACAAACTAAAAACATGCAGGTTCTAACGTGGCGGTAGGTGAGAGTCGTCATCAGCCCCGCTTTGGACCAGGGACTGAACAGACGTGATCGTCAGTTGAGAACACATCTGGAACGGGTTTCCAAAAAGTTACACCAGACATCTGCACAGTGGTTTAATGTTAACACTTTTGCCTCACACCAAGAAGGTTCTGGGTTCAAGCCCCGGTTTGGACCTGGGGTCTTTGTGGGTTGTTTGCGTGGGTTTTCCCGGGTACTCCGGTTTCCCTGCACAGAACAAAAACATGCATGTTAGGCTGCTTCAGGCCTCTCTTTAAAAAGAGATCTCGTGGGGTTTGTCTAATTAAATAAAAGTTAATAAATGTTTTTCAGCTCATTAACAGCCCTGGAGTCCAAAGCAGTTTGTGTTCGTTTGAATCTTTAAAAGAAAATGGAACTAAATCCTCCACACTGGTCATTTGTATTTTTCTGTCTGAAACTCGTGGATGTGAAAGTTATATTTTGTAGTAGGTTGTAATAGTCATGAGTGTTGCTATGGAAACTGATTTACAAACTTTTATTGTGAAGTTTTTCACCCTGATGACTCTGAAGCAGTTCTGTTCAAAAAGTTTGATTTGTCTTTAACAAACAATTAATACTGTATTTTGAAAAGTCGTCTTTTGTGTTTTTCTATTAAACAAATGGATTAAAATATGAACGAGTTCGCACAAATATTTTGGTAAATTTGTTTTTCATTTCTATATTGGTTCCAAATATTACGTTCAAGTTTTTGTTTTTTTGTCGTTTGCATCACATGTGGTACATGAGGTGGAATGAAATGAACACAGGGTCCCAGTTACGCAAAAATACGCTGCCTGGCCAAAAAAAAAGAGTCACTAATATTTGGTTGGAGCACCTTTATCTTTGATTACATCATGCGTTCTCTGTGTCATTGTTTCAATAAACTTCTTCAACGTCACAAGATCTGTTTCATCCAGTGTTGCATTAATGGTTCACCAAGATCTTTCATTGGTGACGAGACACTGGTCATAATGGTGCATCGCCTCACCTGCCTCTCTTCTGACCCTGATGCACCATCACTCTGGAACAGGGTCAGTCTAAGTAGAGTGCTGCATGAATGGGTGAATGAGGCACAGATTGTAAGGAGTATTCTGATGAGATAGAAAGGAGCTGTACAAGTACAGTCCATTGACTATTTAACTGAACCATCCCATCATGCTCCATCCACCAACATGATGTTAATATCTCAGTGAAATCACCTGGAGATCATCTCCATCTTTTAGGATCAGCTGAAAGGTCCCTTAGTATCCACCGCTTTCAGTCACGTGACCTGCATCACTTCTCCATGGGGAGGAGAAGCGAAGATCCTTTATGCACGTCTTAAAGCTCAAATCCACAATCTCCTCTCAGGTAGGTTCTGTCAGCTGAACTCACCTGTTCGTCCTCCGCAGACTTCCTTGTCCAATTCCCTTCAGCATTTGTCCAAAAAAGATTAAAAAAACAACTGGACTCCTGTTCCTGGATGACTGACGATCTCCACCAGTGTACTTCTGTTTGTTTAATAAAAACCATTTGTCATTTTTATCTGGTCGAGTGTTGACAACAAGGATGGATAAGATCAGGAATGAGATCATCAGGGGTACAGGTGGAACAAGTTGGAGGGGACACATTGAGATGGTTTGGACATGTCCAGAGGAGAAACAGTGGTTTGGACATGTCCAGAGGAGAGAGAGTAAATTGGTAGAAGGATGTTAGAAATGCAGCATCCAGGAAAAAGACAGAGAGGATGTATGGATGCAGTTAAGAGAGAACATGGAGTTAGCTGGAGTGAGGACAGGGCGAGATGGAGATGTGGACCCTGAAGAGGGAAAATCTAATTACGAATAAAATTGTGTTGAAAGCACAAACAGTTGTACAAACACTTTGTTTTAAATTTATATATAAAGATATGTGATTTTATACACGCAAATGCATAAGCGCATGCACATGTATGCGCGCGTGTTGCCGACTCATCTCCTTTAAGTGGCTCTTTGAAGAACGAAGCTCTGAGCAACATGGCGGCTCGGCTGACGCGCTGCAGCGCCGCTGACCGGACGTGTCGTGTCCTCTTCTGGTTCTGTGGAAACAAACTTTGAAACGTGATGCTTCGTGTTTTCACTGCTCTGTCTCGTGTTCAGCAAGTTATTTATTTATTTTGATCGTCGGACTAAAATCGCAACGAGCTCGCGCTGATGTGAAGGGAGGTTTCCGGTGTACCGGTGCGAGCCCGGTCAGCTGATGGTCGCAGCTCCCGGACCTGTTTGGACCTGTGTTGGGTTCTGCTCATCAGGGCCAGGCCGAACTGGATGTAAGGAGTCGCACCTCAACACATATTAGCTAAGCCAGGTAAGAACCCGGTTTTTGTTGGGTCAGGTCTCGGTCCTGTCAGTGCTAACAGGCTAATGCTAAGTTGTTGGACTCATGTTTCACTTCCTGTTGTGCTGAAGGTCCAGCTCCTCACAGCTGACCGAGTCATGTGTCCTGCACGTTAATCCAGGTCAGACTTGTTGATGGAGGCTCGGTGGCCCCCTCCTTTGTTGATGGAGGCTCGGTGGCCCCCTCCTTGTTGTTCACATGTTGGATCCATGCACCCCCCCACCCAGCACCATGCTACCGGGTCTACTGCCGAACCCTTATGGGTCACATGATCTGACTGGTTTCCTGCTTCCTGTAAAAACAAAAACTCTCCACTCTCTTTGCATCCCAGTTTTAATCTCGTCTCTGAATAATCTCGCTCAGGACAGAGACTTTTCCTTTAGGTGTTTCCACAAAACAAGTTTCAATCACGTGATCTGGACACGTTTCTTTAATCTTGTTTACAACATTAACCAAGACGATTTCAGGGTTCTTTGATGTGACCCAGTCAAGATGTTAAAGGATCCTGCAGTAGTTGTAGTTTTTGTGACGTTCAGAGTCACTTGTCCAGTTTAGGGAGACGGTGGAACAGAGGTTAGAGAAGGTGGCCTGTGATCGGAAGGTCACCGGTTCAACTCTCTGGGCCGACAACATCAAAATGTGTGAAAGGTGAAGCACCCACACCTGCCTCCATCCTCATTTGCCCCAGTCTGGGCCAGAGCTTAAATTGTAAACAGATCGATGCTGGGGGGGGGGTTGCTGTACATCTACGCTCACCTACATTTGTAAACACTCCGCTCCTGTCCAACATCCCCCCCTACCTTACTTGATGGCTCAGAGCCCGACTCTTCTCCGCTGAATTCACGGTCCGGCTCGTTGTTGTCCAACTCCACATGTGAAACCTCCAGGCGTCTCCTCCGTCTGTTCGTGGCGGCTGCCTGTGGGCTTCTGCCCGCGCACGGCTTCCTGGTTAGCTCGGCTCTCACCCCCACTACTCTTTCAGGGACGGAGATTTCTTTAAGGGTAGAAGCGGAAATGCTTATTTCTAGGGATGCACGATATCTGATTTTTGGCCGATATGTTAAAACTTATTTGACCGATACTGATATTATATACGTTCCTTTGTCAGAACATAGCATCTTATTTAGGCTTATTTGCTATAAAATTGTGCAACAGCTGTAAGAGCTGGTGACATATATTCAGTAACAGCCATATGATCTGTATAGCACTTTAACTTATATTAAATGAAAAGTGTTAAATGTTATTTATTAGCATTAGTCACCTGTGATGCTGTCTCACCTGTTGAGGTTTGTTCCAGGTTCCTATAGCTGCAGTGTGGGATCCTCTGCACTCCTGTGCATGAAGGACAGACTTTTTAAGTTCAAAGTTTTTGTCTATCCATTGATCTGTAAGACTAATCATGCTAACGAGGCTAACACGACGTCCAAACGTCTGTGGTAAAACTCACCCAACAAGTCGTGCTATCGGCTGTTAGCTTCTCAGTGACATCGGAAATGACGGCTTGTAACTCGAGTAATGTTACGTCGGAAAAATATCTCAGACTGGGGACGATGTAGCGAGGCTCAACGTAGACCATAAATCTTCGGAATCCGACATCCTCACCAACGAAAAATAAAACTTCCACACCACCGACACTTTGAATTTTCCTCTCCGCCGTGAGATCAGGTAGGCGCACGTGACGTCATCACGTTGTGTTTCAACAGCATCACGTTGTGCTGCCGCTGCAAGCAAAGACAGATCCTTTTATATCGGTGAGTCATTTAATGGAATGGCCGATGTCCGATATTGAACTTTAACATTAATATTGGCCGATACGATACCTTGCCAATAATATCGTGCATCCCTGCTTACGTCAAGGGGCAGCTCTTCTGTGATATTAATAAGCTTGTATGTGGCTGTTGTGTTTAAAATTAGTGTTTATATAATTATTTTCAGTTTATATTTCCAGTATAACTTTTTTATTTGTTCAAGGCAGTGACATTTGTTCATAACTTTATTATTATTAAGTCTGAGAGTTACTGGATCCAAGCAAACCGTTCCCGGAACACACCCTGTCCAAATAAGAGTTCCCAGATCCTGTCTTGGCAGGATCTGGCTAAAATTAAGCCCTGTTCTGTGCCCTTGAGCAAGGCCTTTTACCCCCACCATCTGCTCCCCCTGGGCACCCTAGATGGCAGCTCTCTGCTCCACAGAGAGGGCTGTGGTAGCTCAGTGGTCTGTGGTTGCATCAGGAAGAGCATCCAGTGTAAAAATAATTGCTAAGTGTTCGTGCAGCTTAGTTTGCTGTGGCGACCCCTTGAAGCATGGAGGCTGCACAGCTGCAGAAAGAAAAGCTTTGCAGAGAGTGGTGAAGGCTGCACAGAAGATGTTGGAGTCAGTCTCCCCACCATCACAGACATCTACACCTCCAGATGCAGGAAGAGGGCCACCTGCATCATGAAGGACCACACTCACCCAGCACACACACTTTTTGCCCCACTCCCCTCAGGAAGGAGGTTGAGGAGCATTAAGTGTAGAACCACTAGACTGAGGAACAGCTTCTACCCTGAGGCTGTTAGACTCATGAATCTCTAACTAGAATAATCACTGTGAAAAACCACATCATGTTGCTGCTGATCTGTTTCATGTTGCTGCTGATCTGCTTCATGTTGCTGCTGATCTGTTTCAATGTTGATGTGTTCATGCGTGCTCATCTGCTCACAGACTCATGTTTGTGCTGCTGTTCGACGTGATGTTTTTATGCTGTTAGTGCATGGTGTATATTTAGTTGATGTTTTTCTTAGTTCATATCTTTGATCTTATTACTGTTTTTCTTTTACATTTTATTGTTGGGTGTAACTGGGATCCTGTGAACATAATCTTGTTCCACCACATGTACCACATGAGATGTGAATGACAAATAAATCTCTCTGACTCTGAAGCATGGAGCAGCCGAAAGAAAAAGAAATGTATATAAAAATAAAAAATCAGAATTGGAACAGTTTGCTATTAAAACAGCATTCAAAGACTAGTTTAGTTTGTTTATCGCTGTTTTTCATATAAATATTAAAATCGTTGAGTGACATAAAAGAGAATGACGTCTTTGGGCCAACAGCTGTATAAAGAAACAAATTGTTGACAGTTTTCATCATATTTCAAATCTTTCATGGGATCAAGTTAAAAGACTGGCAGCTCAAACTATTATAAAGGTGATTTCACTGAAAGTAACTGATTTGGTGGAGTCTCTCAGTTCCAGGGCGGTTGTCATGTGAATTGGCGTTTTATAAAACAAATAAGTTATTTTAATGTGTTTAATACTTTCTTTTTATTTTGATTCATACAAAAGACAAATATTAATTGGACTTTAAATATTTATCTCAATTTAACACTTAAATGATCCTTTACCTTATTGCTTAACGACAAAACCTGTTCCTTGTATTGGCAGTTGTGTAGCGTAACTGTTGTGGTGAAGAAGAGGAGAAGAGTAAAATCAGAGGTGAAGACCAAATGGTGGAAACTGAGGAAGGAAGAATGTTGTGAGGAGTTCAGGGAGGAGGAGAGATCTTCCAGGTGAATGGGCTTCTACAGTCATCTGGAAAGAGGGGGGTAGCAAAGGCAAAGCTGAAGACGTATGATGAGTTGTATGGAAGGATGGACACTAAAGAGGGCGAGAAGGACTTGCACCGACTCGCAAGACCAAGGGATCAGGCTGGAAAGGATGTGCAGCAGGTTAGGCTTGTTAAAGATAGGAACGGTAATGTTCTCACCAGTGAGGAGAGTGTGATGGGAAGATGGAAGGAGTACTTGGAGGAGCTAAGGAATGAAGACAATGAAAGCAGGAAGTGGGAAAGAATAGTGAGGGTGATGAAATATATGTGCAGGTGTTTTTTTTTTTTTTCCACTGCGACTTAATCCAGATGTGTTCATTTTTATAGATGGATTCTAGGTTCTCCTTGTGTGTTCTTCTCAATCTCTCTAATGTAGTTTCAAGTGTTTAAAATAATCTGTCATTGTGCCCGAGGTACTGTGGTGGACATTCCTCTGCACCATTCCTTGCTGTGAGTCTGTGGGGTCACGAGGACCCTCGGTGGTCCCACCACTCATTCCTTTGTAGACCCATGACTCATCTCCTCTGAAGCTGAGTGGTCCAGTTGTGTGTGCTGTACTGTAGCCGAGCAAGAACAAAGCCACTGTTTGCCACGAGTATATCAGCGCTCAGATCAAACACTGCACGTGCTCAGATTAGATTATTCTGGTGCACGTTGGTTGTGCTGTGTCCACATGTGGTGGAGTTCAGCTGAGTTGCAACCAACAGAAGAAGAATGAACAGAAAATATTTCTACCACAACAAAAAAATCCATACATTTTATTAAATTATGAATATTATTAGAGCTTAGTTTAAAAATTATGCTTTAGTTCACACCAAAAATCACTTCAGGACTCTGTAGAAACAGTAAACTTGTCCAATTCGATCCAGTTCAGTTCTATTCGAACTGTTTGGGTTCAAATCTGATCCCATGCAGTCCTGACCACACTTGTTCCAGCTGCGCGAGTCATAAACCAGTCCGGTTGAACACAGTCGTATTTAGTGTATTAGTGAAAATAATGTAAAACTGTGTGAGGGAGTCATGGGGTTGGATCAGATCTTCACTTTAATCTGGATCATGCACGGAGAGGCCGTTGACGGGAAGAGATGCACGTCAGGAGGAGACGGAGTCAACGAGCACATTTTGTTTTTCAGGCCAAAACAATTTTCTGGGGGTTTGATTATCACGACTAAATAATGTCGAGCTTCTTGGTGCACACGTGACGTGCACTTAAAATCCATTTAAAGCATCAACCGGACAAACAAACAAGGTTTTAATGTCTGTCAGCAGCTGACCTGTTAGGACTGAAGGTGTTTGTTACCAACCTGTTGGAGCTCCTTGTTTCATGTAATTTGTCCCCAAGTCATTGTGGTGGGGGGCATGTTATAGGTACAGTCACAGATCATGGTGGTGGGGGGGGGGTGTCTAATTGTGCTTGGGTGGCGTGGCGAACGCACGATTATTATTTTTCATTCATCCGTTCAACCTTTATTTAGACAGGTAAACCCCATTATTGCTTGTACATGACTATAAGTTCTCTCTAGATTAGCCCCGCCTGTTTGAAACTTATCATACCACTTTATTTATAGAGCACTTAAAACAGCTACAAGACCAACCAAAGTGCTGTACAGACAGAACAACAGGCAACACACAAAGCAAAATACAAAATGAGGTAAATCAGAATATAGACAAAAAACGATGCAGATGATGACAAACCAGTGTGGAGCATACAGGATCAAAACACAGATCATCTGGTGTTGAAAGCTACTGATAGTAGTGAGTTTTTAAACGAGACTTGAAAACCGAGAGGGAGGGGGCCTGTCTGACGAGCAGAGGCAACTCGTTCCAATGTCTTGGTCCTGCTACAGAGAAGGCCCTGTCACCTCTGCGCTTAAGACGAGTTCCTGGAACTGAGGAGCAACTGGTCCGCTGACCTCAGGGAACGTGGTGGGACATACGGTTGTAGTGACAACTTGAAGTGAACAGCCATGATGTTAAAGTTGTCTCCCCGCGCTCTCTGATGGAAACATCGTACAATTACAACTCGTTCACAGAACTTTAGGGCTGAACGTTATGTTTATATCGGCACATTATGGGACAGTTATCACCCATACCAGTAGGTCCCCACGTTCCGGTATTGGCCTAAAACATCGTCCCTGCCGATGTATGGATGGAGCTCTAGACATCACTGCTTGTTCAAAGGTTTTTCTAAAAGAATAAAGAACGCATGCTCAGTTTTGGCCTGAACTTGTTCCAAGAGTTAGTTTCAGGGGTTTTGGACTGTTGGCCACAGTTCGGTTCGCTCGTGTTAATCTTTTGTTTCTGCAGAAACCAAACGTCCAGCTCCTTATGGCTGTGTATGATGAGAACATCCTGAGGAATCCTTTCTACTTGGCACTGGAGAAACAGAGACCTGATCTCTGCAGTCGAGTGGCAGAGCTCCAGGGCATCGTGAGTCACGTCTCTCTTCTGCTTTTTATGCTTCCTTCACTTCTTGATAAGAACCAGGCTGCATGGTTGTCTCATGAATTGGTCTCCATCCTAAAGGAGTTGTGTAATGTGTGTGCGTTACTCGTTATCACGTAGTTCTTTGATCTAAATTCACTCAAGTTTTCAGTTTTTCTACTTTCTGGTTGAAGCGACTTTAAAAAGGTGGAGCTTTTGTCCGTATCAGATCGGTATACGCTTCATCCTTGCACCTTGTGAATGGATTATGAACTTTTGTTTAGCCATTTGCTTTAAGGAACGAGGTGCAGCTCTCTGAACTAAAAGAGCAGTTGATTTATTTCAGTTCACTTAAATCCGCACCAATTCATAACGAGTCCACTTTAAATCTAAAATCTAGTTAATTTGAAGACCAACAGGTCAGTTCAGTTAATTAGGAACACAGTACCACACCATATAATGCACCTACAGTGCATTTATATAATGCTTGTTAATAAAAGGCTGTCAATCAGATTCATTTTTATTTCCAAATAAACAATAAAATTTATAAATGACTACATAAATCTGTGTTGTGTAACAAATGGGTTTAATTGAACGTTTCATTTTCTCCTTTGGCGTAAAACCTGCAGGTTCTGGTTCCTTGTTGTGGAAGCTTCAGTGTCAGCAGCTTCTCCGACTCCTACTTTGACAGCTACGTCTTGCAGCCTGTGGAGGACGGATACAAGACTCTGGATGGAAAGGTTGGTCCTCTGCTTCATCACGCCGCCTCACTCCGTAGGAGGTCCTGAAAGTTCCTGATGGTTCTCGTTTTGGACGTTCATTTCAGCGTTTCTGTTTTACTGTTCAGTCCCTCCAGGAAGTTGCGTTGTTGATCACAACTATTACCACAAATACCACCAATCAACCACATTTTGCTAAAACTGGCCATTTTGACCAGCTTTCCCTCAGATTTGACCCAGCACCTCGTCTCCCTGTTTGGTTTCACTTCTTGTTCAGTGACAACAGATTAACAGTTGCCACCAAAGATTACCAATAAAATCCATGCAAGTCCGTTTCCTGGAGTTTTTCCTGCATCGAGTAGAAAACTGATTTTCACCTCTTGCAGCTTCATGGTTGAACGGACACACACTATTGCTTTAAACGCAGTTTCCTCTTGTAACACACACATGTAATGTATATAACGTGTAAACCGTCATGTTAATGTTTGTTGTTCTGACTTCTTGATGTTTAGTTAAAAGCTGTTAATTTTTCCGGTAATTCAACGACGTCCCGTTGTTTTTAAGGGGGTTTGGTTTATTTTTAACAAACAGCATTTTTATTTACAGACTCTGAGTTTAGCTAGAAATCTCTCCTAGATGTTGATTTATTACGTCATAGACCTTCATGTGGATTCTTTGGTTCTCCAAAAAGCCGTTCACCTAAATTTTTCCATGAATGATCGGATGGTTGAGCTGAACGCTTTAGGCTTCTTAGGGGCCGTTTATCAAGATTAATGTCCAGGACAGTAGGAAGTTCTCCACATATGAGAGCTGTAGCATTAGGAATTTTATTTATTTAGTTTAACCATACTTTAATAACTTGTTAATCATGAAAAATAGCTTACCATAGAGTTTTGTTATTATAACCATAAATATTGGTCATTTGACAAATGAAATGTGCCAATGAATCACACTCCTTCAAAATAAAGCATTTATTTTTTTATTTTTTTTATCAATAACCCTGCAGAAAGTTTACATCTTTGAGAAAGCCAGACAGGGTTACCTTACTTGGATTAAAACAAGAAGCATAATTAATTGTAGCTTGATACTCGTAAAAAACCAAAATCTGATCTAAACTGGCAAAAACCTACAAAACAAACCGACACTAGTTGTTCAAGCCAGTGTGTCTTTTGTGCCGGTCCTACGCCTGGGTCGTGTCAGGAAGGGCATGCAACGTAAAACATTTTTATCGAGACTAGTATACGAGTTCATCCAAGCGACACCGTACTGGATCGGTTGAGACCCGGGTTAATAACGACCACCTCCGGTTCTGCTGAAACGGAGCGCCAGCAGAAATTGTGCTTCTGTTCATCAAAGATCACAAGGAGGAAAGCATCGCTGAGTACTATTCGTTTTTTATAACTTGTAGCAGGCGGAACTTATGTTGCAGTGCCTCGTTGCAGACAGACACTTTTTTAGGGACGCGCAAAACAACTCACAACAAATAAATCTATTAATACGTTTGTTATTTTTCACTTTACCAGAGTGAAAGTTTGGACAATGGAGAGGTTTGTTGTTGCTAAAATCAAGGATCTTAATCGAGGATCGTTAATCTGAGTTTCCTCGTTGTGATATAAAGATACAAAGGAGACGTCCGTGACACATTTAATGTGTTGAAGCGTCACATAAACCCAGCTGAGGGGAGTTCTCCTCCACATCTGGACGCTCGCTTCGTTTCATGTTGCTGCAGGACAGGTGTTGCACCAACAGGTGTTCGACTCTGCGGGACAGGTGTTGCACCAACAGGTGTTCGACGCTGCGGGACAG